CCCCAAAACCCCAAAACCCCAAAACCCCAAAACCCCAAAACCCCGTATATATATGAAGCAATAGAATAAGATTATTATAATTAAAATGGAAGGAGATCCAATGCAGCATGATGAAAGTATGAGTGACAATATTACCGCTGCACATGATGTCTACAGCGCAAGCGATGGCTTCTCCACAGCATCAGAATCTATCAACAGCGAGAGAATAGCAGACTTTGCTTCACAACCAATGGACGGACAAAGAGAAATAGATCTTAACGATGATGCTAAGCAGATAATCAAATGTGTACATGACTTAAAGTTCAAAGAGAGAAGAGAACATGCATTAGTTGAGTTATCGAAAAAGAGAGACTGCTTGCAGAACCTAGCCCCTGTGATTTGGCACTCTGTTGGAACTATATCTGCACTTTTGCAGGAGATAATTTCTATCTATCCTTACCTAGATCCATCCAAGATGACTTCAACTCTATCCAACAGAACATGCAATGTTTTGGCTCTATTGCAATGTGTGGCAGCTCATCCAGATACAAGATCTGCTTTTATCAAGGCTAATATTCCTTTGTTCCTGTATCCATTTTTAAACACAATTAGTAAGGGTAAAGCATACGAATATCTTAGATTAACTAGCCTTGGAGTGATTGGAGCTTTAGTGAAAGTTGACAATCCTGAGTTCATTCATTTCCTACTCCATACTGAAATCATCCCCCTAAGCTTAAGAATCATGGAAAGGGGTACAGAACTTTCCCAGACAGTTGCTACTTTCATTATTCAGAAAATTCTGACTGACAGCACTGGTTTGAATTACATTTGTCAAACAAAGCAGAGATTTTTCACTGTTATTACAGTGTTGAACACAATGGTCAACAACCAGAAGCAGACACCTTCTCAGCGTCTACTCAAGCACATAGCTAGGTGCTATCAAAAACTATTGGATAACAATAAGGCGAAGGATCATCTTGCTGAGAATTATCCAACAATCCTTACTGACGAAACACTAGAAAACAGTTTCGATGAAAATACCAAGATCATCATTGATAAACTTAGAAGTATAGTTCAGACTCACAGAGAAATGATGGAGAGCAGGAAGAACCAGCAAGACCCAAGATACCATATGATGAATAAACACCCAGGACAGAACATGATGGGGGTTGATATGGAGTAAGTACCTCACCAAAGTTTCCAAATTTATTCTCTTGAGTGTATTCTAAACATATTTAAACCTCTTTATTTTCGAAGAGTCTTCCTCTTCAGAATAAGTAGAAGAATAGATATTCTAAGTCCCTTCACTTTTTGGTATAAAAGCTCAGCAAATAAGGGTTCATCAATTTATGTCCAAAAGGATAATTTTTAATAGAATTTGATAGCTAGAATCCTTTCTTCTTTTAACAAGGAAATAATTTTGAAAGTCTTCTTGAATTAAAGAATATATAATCAAAAATTTCATACTTTGGGCTTCTTTGAAACTATTTTGACAAACTTTATTTTAACTTTGATTTAGGCAACCAGGAATGACTCACGGAAATATGCACCATCCTCATAGTGGAAGAACATCTGCAGATATTGGTCAACCAATGTTTCCAAGACCTAATTCAACAAGTTATCAGCCACATGGGGGCCAAATGTATGGTAGAGGCCAAAGACCTTTTGTCCCTGGGCAAGGTTCACAACCAATGATGAGACCTGGTTCTACAAACACCTCTTCAATGCACATGAATCACAATATGGTGCCTCATATGATGAATGCTCAGTCTCCTCCAATGCATCACGCTAGCTCACAACCAGTAATGATGCCTTACATGCATCAGATGCCTGTATCACCTACCCCAATGAGTGGATATCCAAGTGATCCTAACGGAGATCAGATGATGAGAATGAACTCAAACCAGTCTCCTTACTACCCACAGATGGCCCATGCCTCACAGCCAGGTTATCATCCCTCCGGAATGATGTCTCCTGGCATGATGCAACCACCCCAGAACAAGTAAGGAAATTAATATATGATGAGTATCTTGTCTGAGATACGGTACAATTGATTTGCTTAAGGTCTAAATTTTCTTTAAAAGTTGCGAAGACATGAATTTAAAACCATTCACTATCTTAATTATGATCTAAAATAAATTCATAAAGCTTCCTAAAATCTAAATCTCTTCAATCCCAAGCAGTAAATCCCTCTAAGCTTACAAAAATTTTGCTCACTTTCAGCTTGGCCCACTTGGATTCTCAACACACTAAAATCTCTTCTACAAATTTACTTTCTTTGCTTTTTTCTAATATCTCTAATCTTGTTCTAGCATGTACTACCCAAGCATGGGTACCCAGTACAGACCAGTCCCTCGTAAGGGAGTTCCTCAAAGAGAAGACTAAGTTCTGCCGAGAGAGCAGAGTGTTAGTCGACTAATATTTGAGGAGAACACAAGTCTTTGGAGTCATCCTCCTATATTAGAGTTGATGTGCTTTCAGCCATCATTTTACTTCACTTTTCGTATATAAAATTATGAACAAATTTTCTACCAGGGGACTGCTATTGGGGTTTTGGGGTTTTGGGGTTTTGGGGTTTTGGGG